CCAGTGGTCGGCGGTTAGCCCACGAGCCGCCGTGGATGTCTGGAGTGGACCAAGTTCCTCCAGGAAGGTGAGCATGGCTTTGAGGGCTCGCCCCTTGGTCTATTTTGATCCGGGCAGTTTTTTCCTTGGTTACGCAGGTGAACCACAGTTCGGCATTGGCCGCCTTCAGCACCGCTCGAGCGCCATCGTATTCAGCGCTTTAAAGGAGATGGTGGCCGGTGTCGGCTTACTCGTTGCAAAGCCTGGCAGTCAGGGTCAGCGTCCCACCGCATGTTGTGCCTGCGCACCGGGATTATGGCACTGTGGATCCTGAGACGGTGGATGACGGCCGCTGTCCGGTCTTGTTCCTTGCGCCTCTTTGTCCGTCCGGCTTCAGAAGCATCCAGCGAGGGAAAACTATGCCGAAGACGCCGGAGCGACGTCATCATGGACGAAACCGTGGCTGTGCTCAGGATTTCTCAACGGCGGCGGGTGCTGCTCGCGAGTTCGTTTTCGCTAAACGTGCTTACTGAGACTAGGTATGTGTACGTGACCTGCTCGGTTTTATTAGCTGAACTACCGTACATCAGGAATATACCCAACGGCATTGTGAGTACTTTGAAAGATATTTTTCTTTGTGATAAAGAAGTCAGTTGTCCCTATTTGATATGATCTCTTTTGTCTATAGCTCCTTGCGCCGGGTTGGAACAAAAGTTGCTTTTTACCGCCTTTTTGAGTTATAATATGCATGTAAAACTAAATGACTGCAATAAATTTTCAATAATGTTTTCAACTGAATTTTTGTCTATGGATCACAATCATTTGAGCGTCTAAGGGTTTGATGGGCTAAAGGGTTTTTCTATAGGGTATTCCTGAAGGGTTTTTCTGTAGTGTATTTCTGAAGGGTTTTGAATCCTGTGAGGCCCCATAATCCTTCAAGGCTGATGGGCCCTTTAGAATTATTTTTAATAGGAAGTCAGTGATGTGATTAGCCTAAGCCATTTTGGAGCACCTTTTGGAGCAGCCAAAACCGTGTTTTGGAGCAGCAAATGTGACCTCTGGAGCACCCAAAACAGTGTTTTGGTCAGCAAAAGTGACTTTTGGAGCAGCCAAAACAGTGTTTCGGAGCAGCGAAAGGGACGTTTGGAGCAGAAATTTTCAGAAAAATAAATATTCGTTTCAAGTCCTGGACGAACGAAGGGCACTTTGTGTTGTGTTATGACGGAACTCGCTGGTTGTGTTTTACTGCTGAGACATCCCAGAAGTGTGCAGTGCTGATAGGCGTTGCCGAGCAATTCCGAAAACCCGCTTGCCACCGTCTTACTGGTTCCTGACGTGCCAGATTTTTGTCAAAAGTAAGCAAACGTAAAACAATGGACTGCAAACGCCCCGCCTGGTGCCTCTGTCGTGCAATCATGTTCGCATGCACGTGAAAGCAACTTCGGCAGACTTGCAGTTGCACGTGCTTCGTCGTACAAGTGTAGACAACGGCTGTTCGATCGCAACCGAAACTATGCCACTCCGTTTCGTCGCCAACTGGTTCCCAAAATATTATGCAAAATGTAACTGTCCAGCATACGACAAAAACAGTCAAGCGGCACGTGCTTGCCAGGCTGGCAGGCGAGGTACAATCTAAACACACAGAAAAAAAGAACCTGAGCGCATCGATGCAAGACATCAGGAGCCAGAATCAAAAAGGTTCTTGGAGCGCTATGTGCAACGACCGAACTCGAGAGAAATAAGCGCCCTGTGCGGGTTCAGCGTGCAGACATTGCCTTCTTTGGTTTAGCTCACTTTTCTTCACCAACTTTCTTTCGCAGCAGATTTTTCATGTACTCCCTCTCGAAAGAAAGCCCACTGAGAGAAACCTAGGTAATCAATACTTCGACGCAAGCGTCTTCAGTTAAAGAGGGATTTTTTGTAATAGCGTAGGATTTAAACAATTTGGAATGTTAATGAACACGCGGCGGTACTTATATTAGTTTAGAAAGCGCCACAGCGACGTCGGGCAGCTCGGCAGCTACGCCCGACGTCGTGCGACCACAGTGACTGGCGGGCAGAAACCAAATATGGTTTTCCCACTGCCGTTGCTTTCAGGAGCGAGTGCTTCAGCTCATAAAGTAACTCCCGCCGTGCAAAAACGTGGTTTCGTTTCACAGCATGACAGCATGCCTTGTACCTGGCGCGTCGAAGAGTCCGCACACACCCGCGTTCATCGTTAAAGAAGTATTAAAAAAGGCGCGAGATGAGATTTACGAGACGACGAGAGCACGAAAAGCGAGACGGAGTTAAAAACCATGCAAGACCAGATAGACAATTAATGCAGGGTACTGTGTGTCGGGCGGCAGCTTACGTCACCTAGCTCACGCATGCTCAATTACGGTGCTCCGTTCAGTTTCGGTTTTGAAAGGCGACCGAAATTGGTGTTTTGGCGCAGGCTTGGCGCAGATTACCCATATTTGGGCAAAATGTAGCAGGATGTAGCAGGGTTAGCCCCTTGGCCCCTTCGCCAGTGATACCTGATCAATCCTGACATCTTGAGGTGGACACGGTGGTGAAGGACCTATTGTTTTCTTCAGCTGGATGCCTTGCTCCAGTGACTCATTACTGGTCCTTCCTCTTCTCTTCAGTTGATTTCTTCCTGCTTTGCAGAATGACGTGGCAAGGTCCATCTTAAACTCTGCTAAGGGGATGAGCTTTCGTGCTGGTTGATCGGAAGTAGTCTCGGCATTCCTCCTGTACACCAGCCAGGCATTTACAGCCATCAAGTCGAGAATATGAAGAAAAATACGAAAGTTCCATTTCTTCGATCGGAGATGGGAGCGGTAGAGGGAGATCAGAGAGTAAGAGATCCTCTCACTTGTTATAAGCGCCTATCACCGACGGACAAGGTAAGCCGCGCCTCTCCTTTTCTTTTTGGCTCCACCATGGCGCAGTTAGGACAGGCTCGGCCCCAACAAAGGTGGACAGCAAGGTGACGGCTTTGTTGTCTTGCCACCTTGTGCACGACAGCTGAATGCCATCCAGGGTCGCTACCCTCTCTTCAAAGCTTCCCCTTCCTTTTTGTTTCATTTCCTTGTCAGATGGCATGCTGACTCCCGTTACTCGGATGATCCGGACTGTACCAATGCAGTGCACGGTTTCTTTTTCCAGGTACATCTGAAGGGTTGGACATTTGACGTAGTTATCGAAGTACACTTTGTGGTGGACTCCTCTTGAGATGAACCTGCACAATCGAACAGCAATGTTCCCACTTGCTCCACAGTCAGGCTCTCCTGCACGTCTTGGGGCAGAGTTCTCCTGTCCCGTGTACAGTTCAAGCTTGTACGAAAAGCTGCTTACTCCTAAGAATACAAGTACCCCAATTTTCCTTTTTTTTTTTTGGTTTCTGGGGGCAGTATTGTTTCAGTGCACTTGCGCTTTTGAAAGGTATAATCTGTTTATCCACAGACAAGTGCCCTTCAAGCGGTATCAGCGACAACTGTTCATTTACAGCATCGACCAGCGGTCGTATCTTCGCAAGCCGGACTCTCAGGATCATCTCTTGGGCCGAGAGAGCTGTAGTCCACAAAGGGAAGATTGTGCTTCAACTGTTCGAAGCGTGTCTGCGTGAGGTTGTCAGCTACTTGGCATACTCTGATAGCTTCACTCCAGTACCACCTAGTGTTCTTCAGCTGAATTATAGACATCCACACGCAGGTGCCTAGAAAACCTTCAGTCTCCTCGGCACTGGTGCAGAGGGGCTTACCGGCATCCTTCTGGACTGAGCACGAATTGCTCTCATTTGCAATAAGCGAAATAAGAGCGCCTGGAAAGATGAACTCGGAGTGTTGGAAGGGTGCTTCCAACTCTGAAATTTTCTGCGGAAGCTCATTTCGTCCAGTGAACTTGACTGTTTCAGGACCCCGCATCAGGCTTGCATTCTTCCAGATACTTCGTCTCTTAGATTGAGTTGACGACTGGTTAGCTGGTTGGCTTGCGGGAGCTTCCTCTTCGTCAGAGCTTGTACTCGCCTAGCTCGAACTGGCACTACAGTTTGCAGTGGGCATCTGAGGTACAGAAATTGACAGCGCCTCATACAACGCATACAATGAGCGGTAAAATAAATAATTTGAAGAGAAATTCTACACTGTATAGGGGATAATATTCACTGGCGGTTCTAAGTGTGTTCTTTGAAAACGTGAAAGTAAACCTACAACTTTGCAATTGTTGTAGAGTTACACTTGACGAAAGATGGTGTCTTCCGAAAATCTCTGTCAATAAACCCTACACTGCCTGTAATTTTTTTTTTTCTCTACGTGAAAAAACGTTGGATTTCCAGAGAGAAACATCAACTTACAATCAGAGTCATCGTCACTGCTAAAAAGCTCGCTGTCCACGCTGTCCGAAGGAATTCCATGGCTGTAAAACCGTTTGGGGTCCATCGTCTCTGCTCTACGAAGAGAAGACACCGTCGTGCGCACTATTGCATGTGTGTAACATAGCTAGTTTTTGCTTCAAAAGACAAACTTCGTCGATAATCTTAAGGTTTTTAGTATTTACATAATCAGCAGGACATAGAGTTGAGTGGCAAATATTTTGTTTTGCACTACACTGTACAAAAAGTAATATACATTAGCCTAGACTTACCTGTGTGACTTGTCAAGTGTTAACGTGGTGGCAGTCCTGCTTTTTAGAGAGCAGTTTCGCCGCCTAAGTGCAGATGGCAGCACTGGACGGCTCGCCTCACGGATGTATGTTGCGGGAATGCAGTGACATGTGGAGCCAGCACTAAATGCATTTTGTATATGTTTTATTGTCGTTTATTGCTATGTTGCAAATATGCAACAAGGTGCAGTAAAGGTTTAGAGACATCAGAGACCAACCGTGCCTAAAAGTCCGAACCGCAAGAAAAGAAAAAAAAAATGGTGGTGTGCATAAGCTAAAAAAAGTGGTCACACCCAACTTCCGTCATTTTTTGAAAGTGTTGCCTTTGAAGCATGACGTAGGTTTGTATATCATGTCCAAGTGCCATTATTTTATTAGCATACGTCCTGAACGCATTTTCCGTTCTTGCATACCTGTTGACAAAAACAAAATTCAAATCACCCAAAAAACAGCGTCTATATTTGAAGAATATTATTATTTAAACATGTGAGCTCGATAAATATACTGAATTAAGGGGCATTTTAACTAAGACTCAACTATTTACTGCATACATTTATAGAAAAATAAAATATTTAAAAAGAAACCTAAGCCCAAGACAGCTATCCCCTGCATAATTGCCATTCAATGAGAAACTACACTCGTTCCGGCAATTTCATTTTATATCTCTTACCAAACAAATAACTTACCCATCCATATTCGCACGGCAGATTATCAGGAAGATTCAAACTCGTACCGCGCCAATAGTCCGGACTTACTTCATAAAAGCAACGAAGCCTGCACATGGGAAAGTCGAGCTTTATCTGGAAATAATATTTACAACGCATTAAGCTCCTTCTTTGTAAATAGAACTATAGTGGTCGCGTTAAAATGGCCTTTTTGAGCAAGTTCCCGTATTGTGCCAGAATCAAAATCGAGTAGAAGCAGTGAACGGGACATCGACTACATAAAATAGCTCTCGACTTTCTTACTTCTACGCGTCTTTGTGTGTAACAGTTCGTGGTCTTGCTATGTGTTTCCAACTAGCCCAACACTTTATTCTGGTCATAGTGTTCGTACTAAAGCTCCTCAATGCAAAAAATTAAGCATGAGAGGTTTCCTGTGGTTCATTATGGTCATAGTATTGGTACAGAAACTCCTAAATTCAACAATAATGTATGAGAGGTTTGTTGTCAACTTCTTGTTAAAACTTTGTACGTTACGTATTCGGGCATTAGCATACACATGTCACGAGTCGTGTGCCTTTCAGAAATCTATGCAAACATGTTTCATGCGTGTCTACTCACTGTTCGAACGCAAGCGACGAACACCGGCCGCCAGTGTTTGGCGTTCGAACTCTTTTGAGCAGCAAGTAGAGACTAAGGCAGCTAGGTTTCGTCTGCCTACTAATTATTCCAACCAGAGCTCAGTGATTTGGTGTACCCGCGCGCTCTGATCTCTTCCTCTGTCTCGGTTTCTATTCGTATGACTTTGGAAGGGATCTTGCAGAGACTCTACGCACAGCAGTGTTCGCCGTTGATGCACAAAATGCGTACAAATTGTTCATCAGTAAAGAATATTTCCGAAGCAATGCAGAATACATTGTTTTCCCACTGCCTTTCTCAGAAGGTTGCAAAAGAAGGGAGCATTGTTTTAGCTTGCGGTTATTACGATTGGTTTTTTGGTAAATGTATACATGACATACATCAGGATCTTACCAGCTTACCTCTTTTAGGGAAGCATTCTTTGAGTCGGGAGTGTTCAAGCATAACTTCTTGAATGTTTCATTGCATTTCGGCGTAATTGTAGTGATACCATGTTCTATTACTATTTCTTGCGAGCCGGCACCTGTAAATAAAACGCATGCTTAGTAATATTGTCACGTGCTAGTAGTTTAGTGAGGTTACATTTGAAAATGCTCCATCCCATACTGATATGAATAGATTTAACCTCTTAGGGGGCCGGGAGACAGCGAGCAGCTTTGTACCGCCTCATTTGTGTTTACACAAATGAGGCGGTACAAAGCTGACAATTTGTGTTTACTGTTCTTATAAGTACCTGGGTGTTCATCTCACCTCTAACCTATCATGGACTACTCACATAACTTCTGTTATTTCTGATACTAACCGTTCTCTCGGATACTTGCGCCGTAACCTTAAACTTGCTACACCCTCCGTAAAACGACTAGCGTGTACTACTCTTATAAGATCGAAATTAGAATACGCCTCATCTATATGGTCCCCATGGCAGTCCTACCTTGCAAATAATCTAGAATCCGTCCAAAACAGAGCCCTTCGTTTTATTTATAACAACTACTCACCATATAGCGAACTAGCTGCTTTTCTCGATGAGTTCCTTTTTAATTTCTCATACCGCACAGTTGATACCAATTGGAATATGTTTAAAACCAAAGTAAGCTCTTTAATTACCTCTTTTATCCCATGTAGGCCTATCATTTCTAACCACTTATCGCCCTGGTTCAACAGATCTGTTAAGCGTCTTTCTAATAAAAAGAAACGTCTTTTCCGGACTGCCAAGCTTACTGGACTTTCTGAACGATGGGAAGCTTATAGCGCAGCAGCTTGTTCCTATAAGACCGCTATCGCGGAGGCCAAGCGAACATTTTTTTCTGTAACCCTCCCCTCTATGCTAACTAACAGTCCTAAACAATTTTGGAATATGTATAGCGGGTCTAAAAATACAGTGCTTTCGCTGACATGTGATGATGGCGTGGTAGTTCATAGTCAAAGTTGTGCTTCCGTTTTTAATGAATATTTTGTCAAAGAATTCGCTAGTGATGTTGTTCCTGTTTACCCTGGTACTTTCCCGAGATATGTTTTTTTTCAAATGGATCCACTTGCTTTTGACTATGACGGAATTATAAAACTTATTGATGATTTAAAACCATCTTCCTCCTGTGGCGTTGACAATATCACACCGAAATTTCTTAAGAGAACTAAAAATTACATTTCCATTTTTCTTTGCAAAATATTTCAACAATCTGTTAACCTTGGCGTTTTACCAGACGACTGGAAAATTGGGAAGGTGATTCCGCTTCACAAATCAGGCAGTAAACATAACCCTTCCAATTATCGACCCATTTCCCTTATCAGTACTCCCTGCAAAATTTTAGAGCACGTAATTTACTCACATCTTGCTAACTTTCTTGATTCAAATTCTTTTTTTACTGCATCACAACACGGTTTTCGCAAATCACTGTCCTGCGAAACCCAGCTTATCACTTTCACTAATGACCTACTTTCCATCCTCGACCGTGGTTCCCAGGTTGATTGCGTCTTTCTAGATTTCTGTAAGGCTTCGATAAAGTCTCTCACAAACTTTTACTTTTCAAGCTCAGTCACTTGCATGTTGATCCTAATATTTTGTCTTGGATTGAATGTTTTCTTACTATTCGTTCTCAGTTTGTGTATACTAATGATGCTAACTCTTCTCTAAGTCCAGTCACTTCCGGTGTCCCCCAAGGGTCCGTTCTGGGGCCCTTATTGTTTCTTATTTACATTAACGACTTACCTACGTGTGTATCCTCTTCTATTAGCTTATTTGCCGACGACTGTGTGATATATCGTGAAGTTACTAATGAATCCGATTCACTCCTCCTCCAAAATGATTTGTGTGCTGTATCCCAATGGTGTGAATTGTGGCAGATGTCCCTTAACATTAACAAGTGCAAGTCTATGAGAGTTTCTCGTCGTCACACGGTTCTTCCACCTCTCTCAATTTGTAACACTCAACTTCAGTCTGTGACCTGTTACAAATACCTGGGTGTCCATATTACCTATAACATGCCATGGAAAACCCACATGGACCCCATTATTGCTAACGCTAACTCTATGCTCGGTTTTCTAAAAAGAAATTTTACACTGGCCCCCGTTTCTTTGAAATTACTGCTTTATAACTCCCTGGTCCGGTCAAGATTAGAATACGCTGCTGCAATCTGGGATCCCGGTCACTCGACACTTATAACTAACCTGGAAGCCATGCAAAATCGCGGAGTTCGTTTCATACTTTCTAACTATCATCGTACAGCAAGCGTTTCCTCCATGAAACTCAGTCTATCCCTACCCTCCCTCTCTTTACGTCGCAAAATATCGCGCTTGTGCCTCTTTTACAAGATCTATCATTCTAACACGTCATTGAAAGATAAACTATTCCTTGAGCCCCCATTCATTTCTCCGCGTTTTGATCATCCATTCAAAGTTGGTGTCCCTCATTGTAACACATCAGCCTTTTTGAACGCGTTTATTCCAAAAACATCTCTTGAGTGGAACCACCTTCCCGCTTCGTTTGTTAATATACCTTCAATTGATTTATTTAAAAAAACCTTATCTGCTCATCTTTTGTCGTGATTGTCCTTTTGTTTATTTTTTGACCAGAGTGCTGTGTTTCGAGCTGTTGATGTTTATTCTCGGCTGTGTTTGCTCTCTTTTTGTACCCTTTTTTTTCATTTTTTGGTTGCCCCACCCCCTCTGTAATGCCTTTTGGCCCTGAGGGTATTGTAATAAATAAATAAATAAATACCAGCGTATCAGGATTACGCTAATCAGCTAACTTTCATTCACTTTCCCTTCGCCGCCGAGTATCACGCCTTTCTCTCCTCCATCGAATTTTTTATCACAATAGCCACCTCAAAAATCACTGCTATCACCTCCCCATCGTATTTTCCCGCGTCTAGATCACCTATGTAAATTACGTCCAATTCGATCATCAACTGTTTCTCACCAGACTTCCACACTACCATTGGCCGTCGAGGATTGGAATTCACTACCTCATAACATCGTTTCTATTAATGATACTACTAAATTTGTTGAAGCCATTACCCTCTATTTATCTAACCTACCTAGCTAGCTTACAGTGTTATAATTGTGTTTACTGTTCTATTTTTTTTTTGTTCTATTGCCACCCCCTTGTACAATGCCCCACGGGCCATCAAGGAAAATAAATGATGATGATTCCCATGTCTCAAAATCTTCGCTTAAAAATAAGCTTTTCTTTAAAATTGCAAATAATATAAACAGCCCTTGCGGTCAATTTATTTGGCACTCTACTCTATGCAGGGGTAACGGTGGCCAATAATTGCGGTGTGTGCAACTTTATACAGTCTGTCTCAACGGGCGACTTGTCTCCCAGCTGTTGATGAGAAATTTAGCTAGTGCCGTACAACCGCTAGCCTGGGGTCTTTAACATGCACCACGCAGTAGTGATACACAACCGCACGCCGGTACGATGCTCATCCAGGTCGAAACGGGCAGGGCCCCTTGCAACAGTGGCCATGTGGCGCACCGCAGATTGGAGCACGTGGAGCAAAAGTTCGAACTGCTGAACCCAGGGATTCTAAGTTCAATCAAGTTCAATACTCACCCCTGCCTATTTTCATCTGGGTAAGCATCGCATCGCTGTGCGGGCGTATAGCACCACAGCTGATGTATGTTAAAGAGCCCAGTCTAGCATTCGTACCGCACGGACTCAGTTTCTCGTCCAATGTGGTTGGGGGTTGTGGCGCCATCTCTCGATAAGTGTAGCAAGCGGACCACGGAATCCTGACAAGTTTGTTGGTCTCATTTTTCACAAGAAGGGGTCTTCGGCTGAAATACCACAAGATAACAAGCACCACAATGCACATTCGGGGAACGTTCGAGTTTTCTATATGACACCGGCGATTTTCCGACTCGTATTATAGCACTAACACTCATTCTTGTCACCCGGCTCATATAAACAATATCGGACCGCCAGATAAAACAACGTCGGGAATTAACCCCGCATGCACGGCCTCTGAAGGGTCAGTTCTCAGCTAAGAGAAAGAAAAAGCTTTCTACTCACCCCTGAGGGTGATTTGCAGACAAATAATAAGCAACACAAAATTTGACACCATCATATTCTTTTGATGATTGAGATGGAAGATAACGTGTTTTGCGGCGTACACCTGAAACAAAAAAAAAATGAAAAAAAACACGCATATGAAGTTGGCATCCGCATACGATATTTAATGCCTCATTAGATAAACACACTGCAAGTGGTCCTTTTGTGCACGCCTCTTTGCATTGTCCTCTACCCCGCCAAGTTTTTGGGTAGTTTGGAGTGATTTCAGCAAGTTGCAGTCAAAACAATGGTAAAGTTGTTCGAAATAATAACTTGGAGCTTTGCCAGCTCTCAGTTAACACTATTTATCTGGCCGTATGTCAAACTTTAGCGCCGCGATTAGCAGCTAATGAGTGGACTGCGATCCCGTGCTCTCATGTGCCTGGACTCTTTTTTCCTCGTTTAAGACATGGAATAATATTTATTTCAAAACAATAACAAAAACATATATTAACTTATGTTGTTAGAGGTCAATAAAGAATGATCGGTGCTAGAATACAGTGATGCGGTAGCAGACGTTAAAATGTCGGTGTAAGAGAAACTGTTTTTATAAGACAGCTTGTCACTGCGAATATGGATTGACTCGCCCCATAGTGGATAGGACAACAACAAACTCCGCATATAAATGCTCCCAAGAAGATGGTGCGCTACCAAAGAAAGGCGGTTTCGCCACTCTGTAACCTATCGTGCGAGTCATGAACTCCCGAAACCTTGCTTCAGCGCCCCTTGCGGCTTATCTTTCAATCCCAAGTTTATATGAAGGAGCTTTTCCCTTTCCCTTCTTAAAGGCGCCTTTTGAGGCGAAAGCCTTATATGTCCCGTTACGAGAAAAGGCGTCGGCGTCGTGCCCGAAACATGGTCATAACAATACGCCATCAAGCACCGCCGCTCAAGGTCAAAATGGACGCTCCTCAGAAATAAAACATAAAGGAAAGCTCAGCAACGCAAAGGCTTTGTTATGGAAGCCGCGAAGCAGCGAGGGCGTGGCGCCTGCGCAGTACGGGAGCATGATGTACCCGCCGGGGTGCCGTGTGCAAAAGGAAGAAGTGGCGCGCTGCTTAAGAATGCACTCCCTGTAGGAATGCTTTCACATTACTACAGGTAAGCAGTCTTAAGTGTCTTCGGCGTGTTTTTGTTTCTTTTAGTTCCCTACCAAGGAATCCTAACAAATTTTCTGATAGGGGGCGCCAGTTCCTCCGAAAGTTGTGGAATGTAATTTCAGTAGAACCTAAAAGAACTTGTTAGGCTATACTCCGTTTCACCTTATGTTGTACCACAGAGAAGGCTAGAAGCGCGAGCTCATAGCGTTGGGAGACGCTCTTAACGCACGAGAGCTTGTGCAGCCGATATGTGCCCTAGAGCAAGAAGCTCGCGCTTGTAGCCTTTCCTGCGGTACATCATAAGGTGAAACAAAGTATAGTTGGTGTTGACTGTATTGAACCATGGTTAAAAGCGCTAAAAAGACGTACACAAGATAGAAGACGAACACGGGCGCTACTCACAACTGTATTGGGAATGGAAGATGGAAGTGCATATATACTGTATATATCTTATACACCTTTCGTCACCCAGGCTACACATGCGCGAGATGCAAGGGCATAAACCCGTTTACATATATTTATCGAAAAAAGGAATCTCAGCATTATACAATGCTATTGACGTGTCGCTGACGCACTGGGGTCCCCTCTTCTTGATGACTCTACGCTCTGCCTAGAGTCAGTTATCAAGAAGTCGAGTGCTCATCGCATGTAGGCCAGCTTCCACAACCAATTGACTAGACTATTGTCTGCGGGCTTTCCTCAAACGGTATTGACGAGTGTGGCAGAGGCCACCCTACAGAAAGTAAAAGGTCACACAACCAGAAAAGTGACGCAGTTGGCACTGAGCAATATGAGGCCGGAGGTTGTACCACATGTACACAAAATGGCGCACAACCTCAAGAAGGTTGCGAACAGGTACGGAGTACCTCTCGTGTTTTCACTGCCAAAGAAACTCGGCCAACTTTGCCCTCGAATTGCTAAAAAAAAGCAGGAACGAGCGAGGATGTGGCACGATGCACGCCAGTCCGTACATCGAATGCGTCACAGGGGTCTTGTATGAAATCCCCCTGACGTGTGAAAAATCTTACGTGGGACAAACGGGAAGATGCACGAATGACCGTTTAAGAGAGCACGCACAATATTTAAAGACAAATGACGGGGCACATTTGCCCGCGCACTGTAGGGCATGGAAATGCGAGCCACGCTCCGGCGATACCAAGATTCTTGGTATAAGCAGAATTCAAAGGGCACGCGAACTGCAAGAGGCATATTTTATCAAGAAGAGAGGACCCCAGTGCGTCAGAGACACGTCAATAGCATTGTATAATGCTGAGTTTCGTTTTTTCCGATAAATATATGTAAACGGGCTTATGCTCTTGTATCTCGCGTATGAGTAGCCTGGGTGAAGATAAGTGTATCCGATATATATATATACTGTACATATATATATATATACTGTACATATATATACTTCCATCTTCCTTTCCCAATACAGTTGTGAGTAGCGCCAGTGTTCTATCTTCTATCTTGTGTACGTTTTTTAGCACTTTTAACCATGGTTTAATAAAGTAGAACCTAAGTCCATTGAACATTAGGATTGACCTAGGTGACTAAATACTTGTTCCCGCCCAACAAACTTCACAGGTATCGACCCAAATCCGATGCTCCTTTATTTGCCAAATCATCATTCACTGTGCCGAGACATCAGGCGAAACAAAAAAGCTCCGATGCATCGGTAGCTCCCAAGTGTCTTTCTATAGCACAAGTTTCTAATGTATAGGAGCAAATAAGGTATGGCGCCGTACGTACTTAAACCGTATCTTGAGCAGTGGTGTTCCTCTCTGTCTGTCTGATGGTTTTTACGAATCGGTGTCTCTCGGCTAAGTAATAATCCTACAGGGCTGTTTGGCTGCACGAGTGCCATGAATTTCATGTGGGTGCGACATATGCGTATGTTCTACACTGGCCTGCCCACTAGGGTAGACGGGCTGCGCTGTTTCAGCATAATCGAGTAGGGGCTTAATTACAACTACACCCGCGTGTATCAATAAAAAAAAATTAAGACGCGCGGAAAGAGTGAGACTGAGAAAGGGAACGGAAAAAATAACGAGACAGCAGCATGCCAGATCTTACCAAGAAACTTTCGCTTTTGTCAACGGAAACTTCTGATGTTTGCTGATAGTGAACGGTGGTGAGCAGATTTATATTTCCATTCAATTCGGGGAACAAAATCTATCCCCACAAACCCCCTATCAACACCTTCCACAATACGGGGAGAGACCATAGTTTGATTCAGTTTGAAAAGCTTGGTCTAGTTACAAATGACCCCTGGACGGTAAGATCCTCAAAGTTCAACCGCTGAAAGCAGTGTGCTCTTGCACTGATTAGTGCCCCCTTTTTATAGCATGGAAGGTACTCGCCAAACGACTCTCAGTGTTGCAAGGGCATAAGCGAATAAAGCCCTTAACGTGAGGTGAACAGTTCACGATGCTCCGCGTCACGGTGCCGAGTGAGGGTTGATTCGGATGGCACGAGGTGGCGATGAATACTCTTGTGAAACCTGTTTTACAACGCTAACCGTTTTTATTCCTAGCGATGAGAACGGCAGATGTTTTAGTTCTGTGTATTCGTCAAAATTTTTCAAGTTGGCCCTTCAATCGTTTTTCTTTGATTTTAAACAAAATGTGAGTAGCTCCACAACTACCGTTGCGGTAACGGTTGCATTCTGTTCATGAGGACGTGGAAGTGAAATTCGACAACCACTATGTGGTATCATTTCCAAAGATGTGGAAATATTTAAAGGTATAAAAACGAAGCGATTTTTTGTTACCTTTTGAGTGACATTTGGTTTCAGGATTTTGGCACTAAGCGAATATTTTACCCCAGTATAATTGCACAAACATTTAAGAATGACCAAATATTCGTATTCTACGAAATTTCGTACAAGTAATTAAGAATTTCTAACCTATTTATAAATTTTATAATTTTTGACGTCACAAATAAGAAGAAGCGAGGAGGTGAGAAATGGAAACAGAAAAACGCCAAAAATAAAAAAAAATAAAAAACGCTCGCGCGTAAAAACATTTTTTTTTTGCGAGTCTATGATTACAGTTACATCGTTTTAGATAGAGAAAAAAAAGCGGCCTTTGGGGTGTTAGTTCCCTCTTAAACCCGTTCACACTCTTGCGACCAAGTAAGACTGAGAAAGACCAGACCGGTTTTTAAGCCTCTTGCGATCTCTTAAGACCAGCTCTGCTGCATCGCATCCGGTCCTAAGAAGTCTCAAAAGGCTTAAAAACCGGTCTTGTCTTTCTCGGTCTTACTCGGTTGCAAGTGTGTGAACGGCGCTTTACTGAACAAAATGTACATTCGCCAAGGACAGCAGGAGACTGGCCATACTTCCTGTTAGTTTGAAAACCTTGCTTTACTTACGAATGATTCCCGTAGATTTCAACCGCTGAACTGAGGGTGATCTTGCAGCGATTTCTGCCTCCTTTTTATAGCGCCGTACGCTCTCGTCATACTAGTCTCAAAGCTTCCAGAGCCATCATACAAGCGAAAAAAAAAACATTCAATACGTTGCGCCTCTTTCTTTCTTTCTTTTTTTTTTTTTGTTACGTCAATTACTCACGGCGTCGCGGCGTCGAGCTCTAATGGGTGGGTCCGATGAAACCTGTCGTGAAGTTTGTTTTACAACAATAGTTATGTTCAACCCTCGCAATACGTACTTTCGCTATTTACGCTTACTCGTCTCTTTCTCTTTTTTTTTTCGATCTGTTTACGAGATGAAAATTGCGTTTTTTCTTAGATTTCAAACGAAGTATCAATATATACTTAACTTTCGCGGCTACGGTGATATATCGCCGTTGCGGCGAAAGTTGAGTAATAACGAAAGTAACGTACTTGTACGTAATCCGTTACAAGTAGCGCAATTACTTCTAATTCCTTACAGTTATCAGTAATTTTTTATGAAAATAATTATATTTCAGAAAGTTATTGTAAAGTAAATTCGTTACTA